TCAAACCGCAGAGGAATCACGGGTCAAGTAAAAACTGGCCAATGTAGTGGTTACTGGTTTTACCAGGTGGGGTTCAACTCCGGTATGGGAAAAGTGAACTGCTTTGCTTTGATCCCGGGCTGACCAGGCTCTCTCTTACACCACCTAAAGTTCTGGAGAAAGCTGTTTATTGACATCCACGAATTCAAAGCTCTGTATGGTTTTTGAGAACGTTGCCACTGGGAAAGCGAAAAGAGATGGTATCTCTCTATCCCAGTATGCTTTTCAGAATATGGTCGTGTTGTAGTTTACCTACTTTGCCCCATGCTTCAGCATAGAGATTGTTTTATAACAACTTTACCAAACGCACTGTTGTGAGAAGCCGTGATCGTATAGTGGTTAGTACTCGTGCGTTTGGCCGCAGCAACACCGGTTCGAATCCTGGTCACGGCATGGACCTTTCCTTGTTGCTCTTTTTACTCTGAATATGGTCCTAGTTTGTACCTAGCAGCCATTCTCCAGTGTAAAACATTCTGATGTGGTAAGATCTCCCTGACTCAACCTGTAGAGTAACGTTGGGACAGAAGACTCAGCTTCATCCAGGTTCTTTTTCGGGCATAATGAGAACTCTCCTAACCACAGAGTCATGTGGAGCCATGCTTGTATTGTGCGCAAGGTAACTATGGGCCAGTGGCGCAATGGATAACGCGTCTGACTACGGATCAGAAGATTCTAGGTTCGACTCCTGGCTGGCTCGGCTTTCTCCTTTTCATCCAATATCATGGATAATGGCGCTGTTTAACTGACACAAAGATCGAGTTACAGTGTTGCAGTTCAGTTGCACTGAGGCTGACCATACTGGTTCCTTCCTTTATAAACAAGTAACAAATCTGGGGTCCCATATGGTCTAGCGGTTAGGATTCCTGGTTTTCGCCCGGGTTCAACTCCCGGTATGGGAAATAGTGCTTAATCTAAAATTTCTGCTTTGCTTTGCCTATCCTCATGATGGGCAAGGGACAGAGTTCTAAGTCCTGTTTTCCAACCAGCAACTGCTTTTCTGCCAGATATCAGTCAGATTGCAGGGTGCATCTTATGATGGTCGTTACTTCGCTTTGTGTCTGCAGCAACCGCCTTTCATCTCCGGGTCACGGCATAGATTTTCCACATTGCTCTTTTAATCTGAATCTGCTCATAGTCTGTATCTAGCAGCCCTTCTCCAGTGGGAAAGCCTGATGTGGTAGGATCTCCCTGACACAAACCGCAGAGGAATCACGGGTCAGAAGACTCAGCTTTCCATCCCGGGCTGACCAGGCTCTCTCTTACCCCACCTAAAGTTCTGGAGAAAGCTGTTTATTGACATCCACGAATTCAAAGCTCTGCATGGTTGTGAACGTTGCCACTGGGAAAGCGAAAAGAGATGGTATCTCTCTATCCCAGTCAGAACGTAGACCCCTTTGCCCCATGCTTCAGCACGGAGATTGTTTTATAACAACTTTACCAAACGCACTGTTGTGAAGCCGTGATCTATAGTGGTTAGTACTCTGCGTTGTGGCCGCAGCGCACAGGTTCGAATCCGGTCACGGCATGGACCTTTCCGTGTTGCTCTTTTACTCTGAATATGGTCCTAGTTTGTACCTAGCAGCCATTCTCCAGTGTAAAACATTCTGATGTGGTAAGATCTCCCTGACTCAGCCTGTAGAGTAACGTTGGGACAGAAGACTCAGCTTCATCCAGGTTATTTTTCGGGCATAATGACAACTCTCCTAACCACAGAGTCATGTGGAGCCGTGCTTGTATTGTGCGCAAGGTAACCGTGTGGGCGCGCACGGCGCAATGGATAACGCGGCCTGACTACGGATTAGAAGATTCTAGTTTTGACTCCTGGCTGGCTCGGCTTTCTCCTTTTCATCCAATATCATGGATAGTGGCGCTGTTTGACTGACACAAAGATCGAGTTACAGTGTGCCCAACTCAAATATTGCACTGAGGCTGACCATACTGGTTCCTTCCTTTATAAACAAGTAACAAATCTGGGGTCCCATATGGTCTAGCGGTTAGGATTCCTGGTTTTCACCCAGGTGGCCCGGGTTCAACTCCCGGTATGGGAAATAGTGCTTAACCTAAAATTTCTGCTTTGCTTTGCCTATCCTCATGATGGGCAAGGGACAGAGTTCTAAGTCCTGTTTTCCAACCAGCAACTGCTTTTCTGCCAGATATCAGTCAGATTGCAGGGTGCATCTTATGATGGTCGTTACTTCGCTTTGTGTCTGCAGCAACCGCCTTTCATCTCCGGGTCACGGCATAGATTTTCCACATTGCTCTTTTAATCTGAATCTGCTCATAGTCTGTATCTAGCAGCCCTTCTCCAGTGGGAAAGCCTGATGTGGTAGGATCTCCCTGACTCAAACCGCAGAGGAATCACGGGTCAGAAGACTCAGCTTTCCATCCCGGGCTGACCAGGCTCTCTCTTACCCCACCTAAAGTTCTGGAGAAAGCTGTTTATTGACATCCACGAATTCAAAGCTCTGTATGGTTGTGAACGTTGCCACTGGGAAAGCGAAAAAGGGACGGTATCTCTCTATCCCAGTATGCTCTTTTACTCTGAATATGGTCCTAGTTTGTAGTTTGTACCTACTTTGCCCCAAGCTTCAGCACAGAGATTGTTTTATAACAACTTTACCAAACCCACTGACTCGAGAAGCCGTGATCGTATAGTGGTTAGTACTCTGCGTTGTGGCCGCAGCAACCCCGGTTCGAATCCGGGTCACGGCATGGACCTTTCCGTGTTGCTCTTTTACTCTGAATATGGTCCTAGTTTGTACCTAGCAGCCATTCTCCAGTGTAAAACATTCTGATGTGGTAAGATCTCCCTGACTCAACCTGTAGAGTAACGTTGGGACAGAAGACTCAGCTTCATCCAGATTCTTTTTCGGGCATAATGAGAACTCTCCTAACCACAGAGTCATGTGGAGCCATGCTTGTATTGTGCGCAAGGTAACTATGGGCCAGTGGCGCAATGGATAACGCGTCTGACTACGGATCAGAAGATTCTAGGTTCGACTCCTGGCTGGCTCGGCTTTCTCCTTTTCATCCAATATCATGGATAATGGTGCTGTTTAACTGACACAAAGATCGAGTTACAGTGTTGCAGTTCAGTTGCACTGAGGCTGACCATACTGGTTCCTTCCTTTATAAACAAGTAACAAATCTGGGGTCCCATATGGTCTAGCGGTTAGGATTCCTGGTTTTCGCCCGGGTTCAACTCCCGGTATGGGAAATAGTGCTTAATCTAAAATTTCTGCTTTGCTTTGCCTATCCTCATGATGGGCAAGGGACAGAGTTCTAAGTCCTGTTTTCCAACCAGCAACTGCTTTTCTGCCAGATATCAGTCAGATTGCAGGGTGCATCTTATGATGGTCGTTACTTCGCTTTGTGTCTGCAGCAACCGCCTTTCATCTCCGGGTCACGGCATAGATTTTCCACATTGCTCTTTTAATCTGAATCTGCTCATAGTCTGTATCTAGCAGCCCTTCTCCAGTGGGAAAGCCTGATGTGGTAGGATCTCCCTGACACAAACCGCAGGGGAATCACGGGTCAGAAGACTCAGCTTTCCATCCCGGGCTGACCAGGCTCTCTCTTACCCCACCTAAAGTTCTGGAGAAAGCTGTTTATTGACATCCACGAATTCAAAGCTCTGCATGGTTGTGAACGTTGCCACTGGGAAAGCGAAAAGAGATGGTATCTCTCTATCCCAGTCAGAACGTTGACCCCTGCTTCCTCCGCTTCAGCATGGAGATTGTTTTATAACAACTTTACCAAACGCACTGTTGTGAGAAGCCGTGATCGTATAGTGGTTAGTACTCTGCGTTGTGGCCGCAGCAACACAGGTTCGAATCCTGGTCACGGGCACGACTTTCCGTGTTGCTCTTTTACTCTGAATATGGTCCTAGTTTGTACCTAGCAGCCATTCTCCAGTGTAAAACATTCTGATGTGGTAAGATCTCCCTGACTCAGCCTGTAGAGTAACGTTGCGGGACAGAAGACTCAGCTTCATCCAGGTTATTTTTCGGGCATAATGACAACTCTTCTAACCACAGAGTCATGTGGAGCCGTGCTTGTATTGTGCGCAAGTTAACCGTGGGCCAGTGGCGCAATGGATAACGCCGCGTCTGACTACGGATTAGAAGATTCTAGTTTTGACTCCCTGGCCGGCTCGGCTTTCTCCTTTTCATCCAATATCATGGATAGTGGCGCTGTTTGACTGACACAAAGATCGTATAAATAGTGTGCCCAACTCAAATATTGCACTGAGGCTGACCATACTAGTTCCTTCCTTTATAAACAAGTAACAAATCTGGGGTCCCATATGGTCTAGCGGTTAGGATTCCTAGTTTTCACCCAGGTGGCCCGGGTCCAACTCCCGGTATGGGAAATAGTGCTTAATCTAAAATTTCTGCTTTGCTTTGCCTATCCTCATGATGGGCAAGGGACAGAGTTCTAAGTCCTGTTTTCCAACCAGCAACTGCTTTTCTGCCAGATATCAGTCAGATTGCAGGGTGCATCTTATGATGGTCGTTACTCGCTTTGTGTCTGCAGCAACCGCCTTTCATCTCCGGTCACGGCATAGATTTTCCACATTGCTCTTTTAATCTGAATCTGCTCATAGTCTGTATCTAGCAGCCCTTCTCCAGTGGGAAAGCCTGATGTGGTAGGATCTCCCTGACTCAAACCGCAGAGGAATCACGGGTCAGAAGACTCAGCTTTCCATCCGCGGGACGCGGCCGCTCTCTTACCCCACCTAAAGTTCTGGAGAAAGCCTGTTTATTGACATCCACGAATTCAAAGCTCTGTATGGTTGTGAACGTTGCCACTGGGAAAGCAAAAAGGGACGGTATCTCTCTATCCCAGTATGCTCTTTTACTCTGAATATGGTCCTAGTTTGTAGTTTGTACCTACTTTGCCCCAAGCTTCAGCACAGAGATTGTTTTATAACAACTTTACCAAACCCACTGACTCGAGAAGCAGTGATCGTTTATAGTGGTTAGTACTCTTGCGTAGGGCCGCAGCAACCCCGGTTCGAATCCGGGTCACGGCATGGACCTTTCCGTGTTGCTCTTTTACTCTGAATATGGTCCTAGTTTGTACCTAGCAGCCATTCTCCAGTGTAAAACATTCTGATGTGGTAAGATCTCCCTGACTCAACCTGTAGAGTAACGTTGGGACAGAAGACTCAGCTTCATCCAGATTCTTTTTCGGGCATAATGAGAACTCTCCTAACCACAGAGTCATGTGGAGCCATGCTTGTATTGTGCGCAAGGTAACTATGGGCCAGTGGCGCAATGGATAACGCGTCTGACTACGGATCAGAAGATTCTAGGTTCGACTCCTGGCTGGCTCGGCTTTCTCCTTTTCATCCAATATCATGGATAATGGTGCTGTTTAACTGACACAAAGATCGAGTTACAGTGTTGCAGTTCAGTTGCACTGAGGCTGACCATACTGGTTCCTTCCTTTATAAACAAGTAACAAATCTGGGGTCCCATATGGTCTAGCGGTTAGGATTCCTGGTTTTCGCCCGGGTTCAACTCCCGGTATGGGAAATAGTGCTTAATCTAAAATTACTGCTTTGTTTTGCCTATCCTCATGATGGGCAAGGGACAGAGTTCTAAGTCCTGTTTTCCAACCAGCAACTGCTTTTCTGCCAGATATCAGTCAGATTGCAGGGTGCATCTTATGATGGTCGTGCCTCGCTTTGTGTCTGCAGCAACCGCCTTTCATCTCCGGGTCACGGCATAGATTTTCCACATTGCTCTTTAAATCTGAATCTGCTCATAGTCTGTATCTAGCAGCCCTTCTCCAGTGGGAAAGCCTGATGTGGTAGGATCTCCCTGACACAAACCGCAGGGGAATCACGGGTCAGAAGACTCAGCTTTCCATCCCGGGCTGACCAGGCTCTCTCTTACCCCACCTAAAGTTCTGGAGAAAGCTGTTTATTGACATCCACGAATTCAAAGCTCTGCATGGTTGTGAACGTTGCCACTGGGAAAGCGAAAAAGAGATGGTATCTCTCTATCCCAGTCAGAACGTGTGACCCCTTTGCCCCATGCTTCAGCATGGAGATTGTTTTATAACAACTTTACCAAACGCACTGTTGTGAGAAGCCGTGATCGTATAGTGGTTAGTACTCTGCGTTGTGGCCGCAGCAACACAGGTTCGAATCCTGGTCACGGCATGGACCTTTCCGTGTTGCTCTTTTACTCTGAATATGGTCCTAGTTTGTACCTAGCAGCCATTCTCCAGTGTAAAACATTCTGATGTGGTAAGATCTCCCTGACTCAGCCTGTAGAGTAACGTTGGGACAGAAGACTCAGCTTCATCCAGGTTATTTTTCGGGCATAATGACAACTCTTCTAACCACAGAGTCATGTGGAGCCGTGCTTGTATTGTGCGCAAGGTAACCGTGGGCCAGTGGCGCAATGGATAACGCGTCTGACTACGGATTAGAAGATTCTAGTTTTGACTCCTGGCTGGCTCGGCTTTCTCCTTTTCATCCAATATCATGGATAGTGGCGCTGTTTGACTGACACAAAGATCGAGTTACAGTGTGCCCAACTCAAATATTGCACTGAGGCTGACCATACTAGTTCCTTCCTTTATAAACAAGTAACAAATCTGGGGTCCCATATGGTCTAGCGGTTAGGATTCCTAGTTTTCACCCAGGTGGCCCGGGTCCAACTCCCGGTATGGGAAATAGTGCTTAATCTAAAATTTCTGCTTTGCTTTGCCTATCCTCATGATGGGCAAGGGACAGAGTTCTAAGTCCTGTTTTCCAACCAGCAACTGCTTTTCTGCCAGATATCAGTCAGATTGCAGGGTGCATCTTATGATGGTCGTTACTTCGCTTTGTGTCTGCAGCAACCGCCTTTCATCTCCGGGTCACGGCATAGATTTTCCACATTGCTCTTTTAATCTGAATCTGCTCATAGTCTGTATCTAGCAGCCCTTCTCCAGTGGGAAAGCCTGATGTGGTAGGATCTCCCTGACTCAAACCGCAGAGGAATCACGGGTCAGAAGACTCAGCTTTCCATCCCGGGCTGACCAGGCTCTCTCTTACCCCACCTAAAGTTCTGGAGAAAGCTGTTTATTGACATCCACGAATTCAAAGCTCTTTATTGACATCCACGAATTCAAAGCTCTGCATGTTTGTGAACGTTGCCACTGGGAAAGCGAAAAAGAGACGGTTTCTCTCTATCCCAGTCAGAACGTGTGACCCCTTTGCCCCATGCTTCAGCACGGAGATTGTTTTATAACAACTTTACCAAACGCACTGGCTTGAGAAGTCGTGATCGTATAGTGGTTAGTACTCTGCGTTGTGGCCGCAGCAACCCCGCTTCGAATCCGGGTCACGGCATGGCCCGGCTCACTCTTTGCCCAACTTTTTTAGTGTGTAATTATCACTTTTATTGATTCACAAGTTAACACAAAGAGACAAACAACATATATAATGAATCATACTTTTAACACAAATTCACACTACAACCCCCCCGGACCCCCCACAAGCACCCTTGTGGTCAATAGAATATAAACTCACATATCCAAAAAATAAATAAATACATAAATAAAACACAACAAAAAATGCCCATAAAAAAAAAAAAAAGAAAGGAAAATCCAACAATCAAGTATAATCATAGCCTAACTCTAAATTATATGCTCTCCACTGCCCCTCTTCAAGAGTCCCCCAAAAACGCCAAATACCTCCTTCTGCTCGACCCCTCCTCAAAGGCAGCCACCCTCCCCATCTCCACACACCACTCTGGAAACGAGCGCTCCATCTGATTTCCATCCCCTTAAAATAACCTGTCTACCAATCATCACACTGGTCAAGATGTGAAATAACGGGGTGTGATTTAACTTCTCTGGTGAGATTAATGGAAAGACTTTGCAGTGGCAAAATAGGGTCAAAAACTTCTTGTTCAATGCAGAACCAGGGAGGGGCTCTCTCAAGTGGAAGTGACCACTGAGCCAAATGTCTGAGACCAAACGCATAATAATAAAACAGAATCTTGGGTAGGCCTAGCCCACCCTTGTCAATCGGCCTATGTAACTTATTGAAATTTAACCTGTGACGCTTACCATTCCAAATAAAAGACTTCGCTATACTCTCAAATTGCTTGAATTATGAAAGAGGGACATCTATAGGGAGAGATTGTAACAGGTAATTGAATTTTGAAATACAACTAATTTTAATAACATTAACCTTCCCGCTCATAGATGAATGTAAAGAAGACCACCTGTCTACATCACAAGAAAATCTTTTTATTAACGGGTCAACATTAACACTAACTAAATCGGACAAATTTTTGGGAAATAAAATACCCAAATACTTAATGCCCTGTTTGGGCCACTGGAAGGCACCAGGCTGAAAGGCCGTTATTGGACAGTACACTGTCAGAACCAAAGCTTATGATTTAGACCAGTTGACTTTGTTTCCTGAGAATGTGGAAAAGGAATTAATAATTCTGTGGAGGCAAGGCATAGATCTAGTAGGGTCAGAGACAAATAATAAAATATCATCTGCATAAAGCAAAAGCTTATGCACCACCACCCATGGAAAATCATTCTCCTTTCTTATCGCAGCTGCTAATGGTTCCAGGGCAAGACAGAACAATAATGGGGAAAGAGGGCAACCCTGCCGGGTGCCCCTATCCAGAGTAAAATAATCTGAAATTAGTCCATTTGTTTGTACTGCTGCTACAGGGTGACTATAAAGTAGCTTAATCCAACCAATGAAAGTATTCCCGAACCCATACACTTTCAAAATCTTAAAAAGATAATCCCATTCTACCATATCAAACTCCTTTTCAGCGTCAAGTGAGGTGGCAGCAACCGGAGACTGATCATTTGCTACTGACCACATGATATCAATGAGACGTCTAATGTTATCAGAAGAGCTACGGCACCAAATAAACCCCACTTGATCTACATGTATATGAGATGTCATTGTACTTTTTTAAGAATCAGACTGATCTGACGTGTGTCAATGTTGGAGGAAGCTCTCCATTCTTTAATGATTCTGTATAAACTTCTAACAGAAGTGGAGCCAGTTCTGTAACATAAGATTTGAAAAACTCAGCGGCAAAGCCATCTGGCCCCAAAGACTTGTCTGTAGGCAGGGCTTTAATTACCTCGACAAGCTCCTCCAGGGTTATCTCAGAATCAAGAGAAATTTTTTCTTCGTCGTCAATTTTGGGAGTTCTAATGGTTCCACAAAGTTTCTAATATCTTCATCAGTAGACGAAGACATTGAACTATAGAGATCAAAGTAAAATTCTTTAAAAGCATTATTAACATCAATGGCCGAAGTAAAAATTTCACCACTAGCAGATTTGAATGCGGGAATGGTAGAAAGGGCCTCACTCTGTTTTATATATCTAGCCAAAAGTTTTCCTGCTTTGTCCCCCGACTCAAAGTATGACTGTCTTGCCCTGAACAACGAAAACTCCACTTTTCTCGACAAAATAGTATTATATCTATATTTCAATCTAGTCAACTCTCTGAGACCACCAGACGACATTCGGCGCTTCAGCTCTGCGTCTGCACTTTTAAAATGTCCTTCCAACTCCACGAGTTCTCGTGCTTTGGATTTTTTAATGAATGAGGCATACTGTATGATCCGACCCCTAAGAACCGCCTTAAGTGCCTCCCAAGCCACGCCCACAGAGGATACTGAGGACCAGGATTAAAATAAAATCAGGATTTTGTAGAAGGGATACATTAAAGTCTCCTCCCAATATTATATCATGTGGGGTGCCAGCAGATTGAAACATCCCTTCTAGATCTATAAAAAAGCCCTGATCATCAGCATTGGGTGCATAAATATTAGCCAAAATAAGACTTTGCCCCTGAATATCTGCTAAAACAATAATTACTCTCCCTAATTTATCTTTAAACTGTTTGTGACATTTGAATTGTAGATGCTTATTTACCAATATAATGACTCCCCTGCTCTTACTCGAGCCAGCACTAAAGAAAACATGACCGCTCCATATCATCCCAAATTTTTCAGCTTCCTGAAAAATTTGATGCGTTTCTTGAAGAACACAATATCATATTTCTCACGCTTAAGAAAAGTAATGACCTTCCTTCTTTCAACTCCTGCTATGGGAAATAGTGCTTAATCTAAAATTTGTGCTTTGCTTTGCCTATCCTCGTGATGGGCAAGGGACAGAGTTCTAAGTCCTCTTTTCCAACCAGCAACTGCTTTTCTGCCAGATATCAGTCAGATTGCAGGGTGCATCTTATAATGGTCGTTATTTCGCTTTGTGTCTGCAGCAACCGCCTTTCATCTCTGGGTCACGGCATAGATTTTCCACATTGTTCTTTTAAACTGAATCTGCTTATAGTCTGTATCTAGCAGCCCTTCTCCAGTGGGAAAGCCTGATGTGGTAGGATCTCCCTGACACAAACCGCAGAGGAATCATGGGTCAGAAGCTTTCCATCTCGGGCTGGCCAGGCTCTCTCTTACCCCACCTAAAGTTCTGGAGAAAGCTGTTTATTGACATCCACGAATTCAAAGCTCTGCATGGTTGTGAAAAACCTCAGAAGAATCATGGGTCAGAAGACTCAGCTTCATCCAGGAGCTGAATTTTATTGCATAATAACAACTCTCCTAACCACAGCGGCATGTGGAGCCATCCTTGTATAGTGTGCCAGTTAGTGCTGGGTCAGTGGTACAACGGGTAACATATCTGACTAGGGATCAGAAAATGCTAGGTTCAACAACTGGCTGGCTCAATTATTCTTTATATCATGTCCTTTATAAATAATGGCATTGTTTGACTGATACAGAGACCAAACTAGAGTCTGCTCAATTCAAAGATTCCCTAGCTGCTTCTGCCCTTTGTCATTCAAGTAAAGTGGATATGTAAGATTATTTCTCTTAAAGAACTAATGCACTATTAATTCTCTTTACAAAAAGTAATATCTAAACATCATTCCAGGTTAAATACAGAATCCATGCATACACATTATAGCAAAGCCACAACTTGATATAATAAGGGCATGTCACAAAACATTATTTCCAACACATCCAAGAGAAAGATTCCAGTCTGAGAAAGCTTCTAGTAAGTCGGTGCTACACAATGTTCTTTTTTTCTAATTATTTTCCATATTACATAACAAAATAACCTCATTTATTTAAAAAAAAAATCAAGCTAAAATGTTTGAAAATAATTTTAAAATATTAATTTTAAAATATTAATTTTCTTGATCTTGGTTGCTTTATAGTCATTGTAGCACATAATTATTAAGGCATTATTTCACTTTATAGCACATTATGAGACATTTACAGAGCATTGTTAAAATGTATGCTAATAATTCTTAATATGTGTTTTATACATCACTAGTGTCCATCCATCCATCCATCTTCAACCGCTTACTCCTTTACAGGGTCGCAGGGGAACCTGGTGCCTATCCCAGGGAGCATCGGGCACAAGGCGGGGTACACGTTGGACAGGGTGCCAGTCATCACCAGTGTCTCGCAGTTTAATTTTTGCAATAAAAAAAAAATACAATAATAGTAATAACGAGCACGTTAACAATCATTGCGGCTGCACTTTATATTTGTGTGTATATATTTACATCTTGTGGATTTATATATTTTTTCTATTTGCACGTTTTATGTCCAAAATATAGATTAGATGGTGTCCAAATTAGTGTGAGAATTATTATATAAAATATGTTGATGCTAT